AAAATTCCAGGATTTTATGAAACTCGAAGAGAGAAGGTGTTTTCCCGTACTGCGTTCTAGGCATTTTTTTCCCGCTTAGATGTTTGGATATATTTTTAAAACATGACCTGCTTAAAGTACAGCTCCTCCCGTACTTGAGATAACACATCTTATTTCTCACCGTTAGACCCTTGATTGAAAATAATTCAATCTGATTGAAATTCTATTAACCCCCACAGCCTAACTTTTGGTTTAACTACTGCTTCTGGGAGAGGTGACTGCATTTTAAGCTTGATCGTTGCAAATGATGTGCAACAAGAGAGAAACCTGTCTCCGCCCCACAAACCAGGATTGGGAAAAAAGGAGGGCTTTGATCAAGGGGATTTTTCCCCTCCCGTGCTACTGATTTGCTTACTGTGTATTCGATTCGCCTTACCAGTAAGGCGAAGCTCTATATTTAGCCGGCATCAGAATCAGGTTTAAGGCAGTGGAATAATGAGTGGAACTGCCAGTTTCAATGAATAAGGTATTTAGAGGAAAACCCTGGTGAAGGATATCACTATACACGTGAATGGGAAGACGTAAACCGAGATTTGTACATATATGAGACGCTTCCGAAAATACATGTTTTTTCCCTCCCCTCTATCGTATTTATTTACTTTAGGGATGGGGGCTGGGAAAGTCTGCTAAAAGTCGGTGACTCTACACAGAAATCAATAGCTTTCATCACGTTGAGGGGCTCAAATGAGATTATATGCATTCGAGGGAAGGGAATGGGGGCAAAAAACAAAAAACCAACCAAACAAAAAAAGCCCCCACCAACAACAAAAAAAATCACAACCCCCAACCCAACAGCGGCGATTAACCCTTTCCGTCCTGTAAAGAACTGCTATAAATTCTGTCCTGGGTTTGCTTAGTGGCAAAAACTAGGATGGTTTCCCAGGGGAGACAAAAAAAAAAAATCAGCTAAATCAGCCTTGGGAAATGATTAAGGAGGTGTTGCTGGTTTCGGAAGAGAGGAAGTGGGTTCTCCAGGGGCTGGAGAGAAGGGTGAGATGCCCTTGCTGAGGCGGTGCCGGGCTGCGGCGGCCGTGTGCCGGGTGCGCAGGGACAGACAGCCAGGGCTCCTTGGCCGCCCCTCCGGCGCTCGTCGCGTTCAGCGTCCCGGGGTTCAGAGGGGGGACCTGGCCGCAGGACACAGCGAATCTCCCGCTCCGGTAGGAAGAGCTGCTTTTGTGCCACGCTACGGCGGTGGCTCAGCGCAGCTTCGCCAGTCGGGAGGGCAGAAAGCCTCCTTGAGTCTGCTCCGGTTTAAAACTTGAGGAGCTTTAGACCAAAAAGATGCTTTGCTAGAAGTGTCCGGAATTGAGGTTCCCAGAGGTTCAGATTTCCCCTCGTTGTCTTGCGGAACGTGGTGAGGAGCCCGTGCGGTGGACGTGCGGAGAGGGGAAGAGGTTTCGCACAAGGCTGAAACTGGAAACAGCTCAGCGGGGAAATCAATCACGAAATGAATTAGCTGCTCCGGGGTGTAGGCTTTGACTCATCTAGAGGTGTGCGATCTTTAATCTTCAAGTCTTAGCTACTGCATGTGAGGGAGAAGTGCACCTTAACAGCACTAAATCTATCAAAACAGAAGAAAACCTGTCAGTGGGCTTCTTCTGCACGCCCAGGAAACCCTCCTGACTTTTAATAATACAATCAAGCTTATTAAATCCCGCTACTGCTTAAATAAAAAAAAAATAGTAAAAAGGGAAAAAAAAAAAAAAAGGAAAAGCAGAACGCAGCCACCCTTTCTCTCCTAGAACCTTTCTCGGAGTTCAGGAAGACTCGGTGCGTCTCCTCAGGACTGACCGGCATCACCGCAGCCGCTTTTTCATCCAGCCAGAATTGGACACGCTGGCATGGGCAGCCTAGGCAGGGGAGTAAGGTCTTTGGCAGGTGGGGAAAACAAATCCCCGCCAATTCTGGGGAGGGAAAGGTCCTCAAAAGATGTTAAGGAAGTGTCAGAGCGCGGGTCGGGCCGAGGCATGGAAA